CTCCCCTGGGGCTTGTGCTCTCCTCTGCTGTGGAGCCCGGGGACACAAAGGAGGGTTGGGCTTGTCTGAGGCGATGCCACCCACCACGAGGGACCCGCTGGGCTCTCCTCAAGCCAGGCTGGATCCTCACCTTGGGCAGCTGAGGTGTGGGGCAGGGGGTGTCAAACAGGAGGCAGCTGAAGGCGCCGTAGATGCCATCGCTGAGGTGATACACAAGGCTCTTCTTGTTGGCAGAGTCTTCCTCTGGAGAGGAGCAGGGAGAGGGCTCAGGGGGGCTCGGGCACACGGGTGGGCTTGTCCAACCATCCCACCCACTTTCAGAGCCAGGCTGCTCCATGGGGACCTCTTCCCTGGCAGTGATGGTGGCAGCGAGGGTGAAGGCAGAGGTGACATAGTATCGCCCGGGTCTCGCCACGATCTCCACCCCGTGGCCCTCCGGGAAGTACAAGTCCAAGGCAGAGTTCATCACAGCAGCCATCTGGAGGGGAAGAAGGTGATGGGTGATGGGTCCGAACTGAAATAGGGCATGTTCAGGTTAGGTATAAGGAAGAAGTTCTTCCCTGTGAGGGTGGTGGGACACTGGAACAGGGTGTCCAGAGAAATGCTCCATCCCTGGCAGTGTTCAAGGTCAGGCTGGACAGAGCCTTGGGTGACATGGTCTAGTGTGAGGTGTCCCTGCCCATGGCAGGGGATTGGAACTGGATGATCTTAAGGTCCTTTCCAACCCAAACCACTCTGTGGTTCTATGATAAGATGTTCCCCCTGGGTTAGCTCAGCCCCTCTGCAGGGAGCCAGACCCAGAGACCCTCCAGCTTCACCCTCTGCCTGCTGACACAGGCGTCGGGAGCCACGTACCTCCTTGAACCGGGCTCTGGTGTCCTCGGTGCCAGGGAATCCCCCTCCGATGTCCAGGAGGTGCATCTGGAAGCCCAGCTCCGTGCCCATGTCAAAGGCCAGTTGTGCTGCAGCCACGGCCTGAGCGAAGGCCTGAGGCTCCAGGCCACGGCTCCCGAGGTGGAAGCTGAGGAACAGTCCCTGTTTCAGCAGGGTTTGTGTGTCCACAGAGAGCAGTGAGGGGACACAGCACTGGGACCAGCACTCACTGGGGGCTTCCCACCTACCATCCCAATGAAGACTGGCTGGCCAACCCCTCAGAGCCCCCCCAGATCCTTTCTGAGGTCCAAAGCTGCACCAAACTGGTCTCAATAAGGGTCAATCTCCCCAGGTCCCTCCCTTCACCTCACTCCCAACCAGAGCAGCTGGTGGCTCCATGGACCTCTGTGCTGTCCCAGTAAGGCAAAGCATCCCTATGGATAAAGGACCACGTGCTATACCTGATGCCGACCACCTCCACAGCCTGCTCCTTCGCTGTCTCCAGCAGATGCCTGCAGGACTTGAGCGTGGTCCCAAACATCATACTCGGATGGGCAGAAGGGTTGGAGTCAGCAGCAATACCCAACAACATCCTGCGGAGCAAAGCCACCCTGTGCTGAGGGGTCTTCAGGCCCTCTATCACCCCACAGCCACCTCCCCAGCTCCTACACCAGTTGCCCCAGTGCAGTGATGCTCCCAGACACCCACCGGGCCCGAGGGTGGCTCCTGGCCACCTTGCTCAGCTCCACCTCGTTGTCGAAGGTCATCAGCTGCACCCCGTGGCTGGCTGCATACTTGATGTGGGCAACCTGCTTGCAGGGGCTGCTGTAGAAGATCTTGTCAGGTGGGACTCCAATGCTCTGAACCCGTGCAATCTCTGCCTGCAGGGACAAAACACACATGTTGGCACCACGCTGAGCCCTGGGCCAGCATTACAGCCTGGGCTTTGCCAGGGAATAGCCACAAAAACTCAAAGGGGACCACAGTGGACTTTGTCCTGGTAGGGGCAGGTTGCAGCAAGATGTTTACAAGTGGAATGAGACCAGGAGGAGAGAAAACAAGTGGGTTTAGCAGGTGTGGGGTCGGTGCATGTGTCCCCTGTGAGCTGCATTGAGGGTGACAGGGGCAGCGTTGGTCTGACCTGTCACAACTCTGCACTTTCCCCTCCTGGTAACATTTAACTCTGTACAAGTGGCTTAACTTTGGATCCTCCTGGGAATCTGACTATTACAAATGACATGCAGGACGGAGCAGGGAGCTTTATGCTTAGCCTTAAAGCCACCAGGAGTTGGATGGTTGCGGCAGCAGCACCCCAGGGACTTGCCTTGCCACCAGCCAGGGCACCAGTTCCAGAGACTGGAATGAGGGTCAGAGGGAAGAAGCCTGAGTCTCCAGAGAGGACATGGATCTCTGAGCTGTGCTGGGAGGGTTTTGTCACCCCGTGAGTAGAAACTCAAGCTCTGCCACTCTCTCACATATCACAGAACCAACCAGGTCAGAAAAAACCCTTAAGATCAGGTCCAGCTATTAAACACCCAAAGGGTGCTCGCCCTGAGCTGCCCTCCCACAGCCCTACCTTGTTGGTGCAGGCAAAGCCTGTCCCCAGCTCTGCCAGCAGCCGAATCACTCCATCGCTGCCGTTGCACTTAACCGGGAAGAACGGTTTCACACGGGGTAAGGCCTTCAGGAACTGCAGGTGTTTCTTCACGATGTCCCCCAGGTCTGCCACGAAGAAGGCTTGCTGGTCACCCTAGGAGAAAGCTGGAGTGAGCAGCACTGGCCTCCCTGTGCCAACCTCTGCCAAGGGAGCGGTGAGCACCAGCCCTCACCTCCTGGCACAGCTCCACAAGCAGGTTCTCCAGGAGGTCTCTGGTGGTGAAGCCCTCCTCCACCATCATGAAGTTGGACTCATTCAAGTACCCATTCATGGCTGAAGCGTGATAATGTGGGTTTGAAGCCTCCTCTAGTAGGGTTTAGCTTCTAAATATGCCACACACTGGGAAAAAAGAAAAGGAATGTGAGAAGCAAGGTCCAGAAGCTCCAGCAGTGTACACCAGTACACCCCGAGGTGCCTCCCACCTCACAGCTCAGGCACCAACGCAGTTAACACCAAAGCCAAGTTCACTGCAAAGCAGATGGCCTATAGATGCCAGAACATGCCCCGTCACGCTCTGGCATGGAGCTGGATCTGCCGTACGTTGCATGGGGTGAAGTTCCTTTGGGATTTTCCTGTCTCATGGACCCAGGCACGCAGCCCCATGGAAAGAGAGGCATCCTGACAGAGCACAGCACAGGCCACTCGCTGAGGATGGTCTGGATCCCTGCTGTGGTTCCAGTTTCATTTCTCTCCCATGACACAGGGTGTGGAGCAAGGGGACAAATTAAGCTGCAGGGTGTTTCCTGGCTCGCACACTGAGCTTTAAGCTCACACATTTGGCTCCCCTGGATCCAGCCCACCCCATAACCCAAAAAGCTGACAACCCAGCGCAAGCTCACATGGAACATTTCCACTCCAGGTGTAGCTCCAGGGCTTTTACAGGCCTCCCTGAGCTGCAGTGAGTGGGAGACAGAGGTTTCACTTCTCAGAGCTGCACCTCCTCTGCAGAGACCTTACAACATCCTGGATGGGCACTAGGGGAAGGCCCACGCTGACCCCAGAGCAGCAGGATGGTGCCATGCATTGAGCAAGCACTGCCAGTGAATTCCAGAGATGGGGAATGTGGTAGAAAAAATGGGGTTTGAGGCTCTTAGAGCTTCATACTTGGGAAAGGAGAGTGACTCCTCCAGCATTGCCCTTCACTCCCCATTACCAACCAGCCCTTCACCCACCCTGGCTGGCACAGAAACCATTAGCATTTAAGTGGGTCATTCCTGACAGCCCATGCCACAAACAGACATTTCCTCCTCACCCGGGTCTGATGCCTCCTTCCCAAGGTCTGACGCCTCCTTCCCAGTGCCCAGGCACAATCCCAGGGGGGGTCCCCAAGGAACGCCGAGCTCCCACTGCACCCCGAGGCGTTGCTGTTGCTGGGGGTCCGAGGTCTCTGGGCAGAAGCAGTGCGAGGGGTTAGTGAGGGAGAGGGGCACTGAGCCATCGTTCCCGAAATCCAGCAAGCACAGGCATCCCTCCTCGGCCCCCCCGGCTGTGCCGGGCAAACC